TGGCGTAGCGTGCGTGTGTGTGTGGTATGTGTGTGTGTGCGTGCGTGCGTGGCGTGCGTGTTTTTGTTTGTGTGTGTGTGTGTGTTGTGTGTGTGTGTGTGTGTGTGGTGTGTGTGTTGTGGTGTACGTGTGTGTGTGTGTGTGTAGTGTGTGTGTGTGTGTGTTCGTGTACGGTGTGTGTGTGTGCGTGGCGTGCGTAGTGTGGTGTGTGTGTGTGTGTGGTGCGTGTGTGTGTGTGCGTGTGTGCTGTGTGCGTGTGTGTGTGTTGTGTGTGTGTGTGTTTGTGTGTGTGTGTGTGTGTGTGTGTGTGTGTTGGGGAGCGTATAACAGAAGCTGTCGTGAATGTGTGGGGGGGGGTGTGCCGTGCTATGTAGACCATGACCCAGCTTGAGGAATCTGGGCACAAGTTGCTTGCCCTAAGGCTAACGGCTGCGGCGCTGCATCCCAGCCATGTTCGCTACTCGCTCCCTATAGCCAGCTTTTGTCTTGCTTGTCGTTACTTTTTCGCGATTCTCAACTACGCGGGCGAGAAGGTGGCGTGCTGCGTCTTAGCACCAGTGAAAGCAGTCGTAGAGCCTGTTCGTGCCTAAGCCCAACCCTAATTCTAAACGGCCTAACGAGCCCACGCCTTGACCATAAACATAATCCTAACCGCAACCTAGATCACACGTTACATTTCGCGCTTCTCAGCTACGTGGCGAATAAGGATGCGTGCTTGTCTGCGACGTGACAAGCAGTAGGGGAGACGCGGGGACAATTTGTAACAGCGGGTCAATGTAAGAAAAAAAAGAAAAAAAGAAAGAAAAAAAGCGAGAGGCCCCTCATTCCTAGTAGAATACGTGCTATATGTAACGCCTGCTTCAGCAGCGCATGCACATTTCATTGCGGCCCACATGCTGGCGCTGAAGGTAAGGGCAGGTATTACCATCGAGGAACTATTTGAGCAGCCCAACATGCATTTTTTACGCAGGTAAGTAAAATGCTCGAATTACCTATAATGTTTTTTTTCTGGACAAATATCTACTTGATCTATCACTGTCATTTGTATATGCAATAAAAAATAGGTTTTTAAGCATGTATTTGGTAAGCGTTATATTGACGAATACTAATGCTAAATCAAAACAGCGCCCCAAATTATTACGCGGTCTCCAGTCGTTGGGCAAATGTAACAACGTGTTACAATATGGCCGGCCTTGGCATTGTATAGAAAAGTATGTGTTTTAAAACTGTGTTTTGTTTATCAGGCAAAAAAGTAGCCTTCTTTCTATAAGCCTGCAGACTAGAACTACATAACTTTGAATATAATGGGTTGTAAATATGTTTTGTTCCAGGAAGGCGCAATAAGTTACGCTATTTATATATTTATTGCAATATGTAAATGAGTCAAGGGCATTCGTCATAGTTTTTTTATTAAAATTATTTATTGTGGTTTTTATAAATTGGCTGTTTAATTGTTGAGAAATCTGCCGCAACGCTGTCAGACCTTTATAAAAAATATTTTAAAAAATCTATTTTGAGGGATATGATTGTTGGTACAGATTGTATGTGTTAGCAATTGCCCGCATTGGTGTGTTCAGCAATTGCCCCGTGGTTGTGGGGCAAGTTGTAACACTTGGACTTTCCAGTTTGGTGAAATGATAATTGCTTCGAAAATAACTTGTTTTACGTTAACCGCAAAGCTAGTCAGTATTTCAAGCCACGATATGCAATCTTAATTTTATATACCTTGAAGTAAGTATTTAACTATTAATACAGTTGTTATTTTTGCAGATTTGGAAAAAGTGTTACAATTTGTCGCGCCCGGTCTGCCCGCTACGCCGTAGAGCTTGGTTGGGTTAGGTGTGGACCGTCGTTGTCGTGTTCATGGCCCGCCCTGATGAAACGTAGCAGAGTGCAGGCAGATACCCTTGCTTGGGATTTCTAGCCGGCGTAGATCGCCGTTGAATCCCGTGAGCGGCACCGCCGCCGCCATTTGTAGACGGACGGGAAAGGCAATCGATTTAACTGACTGAGACACGTTTGTTTCGAAACCCTAATTTAATAGCGTTAGATCGAGTTCGTACTATAGGCAAGAGGCACATACGCTGTTATGCTAATTATGTAACTGTTATTGTATGTGGCTACCAGGGGCGGATTCCAGGCTTGCAAGGTTGGAGGGGGCGTCGCTGAGGGCAAAGTTACAAAGCCCGTGCGGGCAGGGGAAGGGGGGAGGTTCGGGGGTGGGGAACTTAATTCCGCCCGGGGAAACTTTTTCACGGCAAACGGCTTGTAGAATGGCAATTTCCCGTAATGCTATTGACGCAATGATTTAGCTTTGAGAATTCACGGTCAACATTATTAGATAGCGGCACAAAAACTTTGCTTGGGCAAAAAATAAGAAGACGCGCATGCAATGGCATGCGGGCTGTGCACGCGCCTTGCATCGGCACACGTGCTGGTATAAATAATTGGTTATGATAGATTAATAATAATATAGCATTTTACACGGCGCGCGGCGCAGGTGCCCACACACGGCCACACACGCACGCACACACACGCATATATATAGTATATATATATTATATAATATATATGTGGCGTACTCTCATGTAATTCACATACGTCATCAAAAGAATCTCGGAGAAGAGAAGAAGCTGTGCTATCTATGCGATGCCTGCTCTTACACCAATGGTCATAGGTTTGGGTGAAAGGTCAAGCTTGTACGCCTGCCTGCGGGCCAGCCGTTGTCGGAGAAAGAATATAGTCTTACATTACCGGTCACATTGACCTTTTTCTCGTAGACTGAACGCTCTGGGCCGTTGTTCAGAAAGCATCGTAAAGTTAATGCTAACTTGTTACTCATGCTGACATGAGTGCAGATGCAAGCTTGTAGAATCGCATGAGCGTTGCGTCCGTGCGTACTGTCTGGAGCCGTCCGTCGCCGTGCGTCAACAGTTTGGGCACAAATGCGTATTTAACCGCTTGACTAGGCGGTCAACAATATTCGCGACGTCGGGGGGATCGTCAAAACGAGTTGGGAATGTCGAAGGCCTGGGGGTCAAGAAGTCCAAAGTGGGTTGGGAAGGTCAAGAAAGGTGTAAAAGAAAGGGGGAACATTCCGCTCCTTAAAGCTTAAAGGTAATAGGGATTGAAATGCGGCAGAAATTGCGGGCACAAGATCTAAAGCGGCTCGACGCGTAGGCTCGTGAATAGTCGGTGTAGTAGGCATGCATGGTAGGAAAATAAGGCCATGCACTGGTGGAATTGGACTCCGCGAAATTGGAGGTCAGCAGGTCAAAAGGTCAATGGTCCCACGAGGGCAGATGTTTAGACATTTTTACTGAGCGGACATGGTCTGACGGAGCGATTGAAAAAAGCTTTTTGTTTTCAAGCGGCTGAGCCTAGCATTTTATGGCTTTATTGTGAAATTAAGGACGCATGAAATGTACTTTCATGGCTGACATGCGCGAAGAGTAAGTGATGCGATAACCTTTTGTACCGCTCAGAGGAAGGTTAAAACATGGATTTGTGTTACTGTTAGAACAGAATTTGACTGCCTGGTTTGGCTTAGAATCTATAGCATGCCTGGATGTATGAGGGGCTACAGCCAATGTCAGCAGGTGAACATTTTCAAAAGCAAATTTGGTTGAAGAAGGTTTAATGCTGCTGTAAATCGTAATAATTTCTATGGCATTTGTACTGTCCAGTGTGTTACATGTAAGCATATGCCACTGCCGAGGGCGCACTGTGATCGTCCCTGGTGTAGTTTTTTGCCTGCGTTAATTAGTTGATGCAGGTGGCAGCTCTCGTAAATGGATGAGTGGCTTAGCGCTATTCTGTCTGAAAATAGTGTTGTTGGCTACTACATACGATGGAGCTTCCATCTTTAAACTCTTAAGACACTTAAACGTACGCAGGCCCATCTCGTGCCAACTTTCATAACGATGCAGCGCAACGAACATTCGCTTTGAGAAGGTTCCTGATACCATTCATGACGATTCGCTGTGGCCTTGCCACTGTTTCGGGCGGCGTATGTGAAACATTTCGGGACCTAACAGGGTTTTACTATAATCGCGGCACCACTCACAATCACACTCCACGAGTCCACGCGCAGTAGACGTTTAGATGAGCGCTGTCGCTTCGCGGGCAACTTAGTTTCTGACACCGGGCAGGCCCTGTAAAATAGTGGTATATGCGGGCTTCGTAATGCGAAACTTCGTACTCGCTAGCTACGCGGGCGTTATCTGTCAACGGTCCTATGAGAAAAAGTGAGGGCCTGAATGTTGAGATAATTTTTGTTTCAGACACGCAGGGTCCGCTGTTTTTTTTTTGAAGTTTTGGGCATTAAATTATTCTCCGTGCCTCGCCAAGCATGAAAGCAAGGAACTCCTGTAGTGATACGGCATATAGCCTCATCTTAGCAGGGTTCTGTAGATAAACTTCCTTATCTCAGGGAGGCAGGGTTATTGTCATAATATTCTTCTAGAGCTGTTGGGGAGCGTGGGGGGCGCCGGTCCCACAATATTAACTACTTTAATGTCAGGATCTGTCTATAACTTGAGCCTCAATCTGAACACAGATGCAGCTGATCCTATTCCTCTGAATGATTGGTTTAACTTTACGCAGGGCTACGGCGTCGCCGGTCATCGCATTACAAAGAAGGCTTCAGCACTGTTCCCAAATCCACGTACACGATTAGGCCAC